CTATGACAGAATGGGTGCTTGTAGTTCACAATAACCTGTTCTATATTTTAGGAATATCCAGAGAGAACAGCCTGAAGCTTCCATTGATAAAGTACTAATAATGAATTGGAAATATTTTAAAGATTTATTTTTCTGAAAGGCAGTTGGAGAGAGAGAGAGAGACAGAAAGAATCTTCCATCCACTGGATCACTCCCTAAATGATCACAAAATCCAGGGCTGGGCCAAGCTGAAACCAGAAGCCAGGAGCTTCTTCTGGGTTTCCCAAGTGGGCCCAGGGCCCAAGCACTTGGGCCATTCTCAACTGCTTTCCCAGGCAATAGCAGAGAGCCGGATTGGAAGGGGAGCAGCTAGGACACGAACTCGCATCTATATGGGATGATGGCATTGCAGACAGACAGCATCGGTCCCAGATAGCTTTATAGGAAGTGGGAAGTGGGGACTTGAACGGTGCCCACAAGGGATCCCAGCTGGCATCCCAGTCATTGGCTTCACACATACAACACCACAGCACTGGTTCTGAGACAGAAATAATAATTACACTGTTTTTTACCTGTACACATTATATACAAGTATTGAAACGTCAAACTGTACCTGGTAGTTCTGTAAAATTATTACTTTTTTTTTTTTTTTTGGCCAGGAAGAGTTACACAGTGAGAGAGAGAGAGACAGAGAGAGCGTTATAGACAGTAAGAGAGAGAAACAGAGAGAAAGGTCTTCCTTCTGTTGGTTCACCCCACAAATGGCCGCTACAGCCGGCACGCTGCGCCAATCCGAAGCCAGGAGCCAGGTGCTTCCTCCTGGTCTCCCATGCGGGTGCAGTGTGGGGAGCAATCCGGACTAGACTAAGTTGCTCGAATTAGGACTTATTCTATGCATCTGCTCTCCCACAATATGGCGCTGGGAGAGAAGTAAACAGCTTCCGCACAGCTGCCTCCAGTTCAACCAATTAACTGTAGGACTTGCTCCTGATTGGAGAGCAGCGTACTCAGCCGAGTTGGGATTGGCGGAGGAGGACTATAAAGGAGGAGAGAGACGGCATGCACCAGGAACATCTATGGGGAACATCTAGCTGAAGGAACACCTGTGCAGCCCCCGAGACGAGACGGCCGGCGGTGTGCCGCTCCCCTGCGGAAGTGGGGAATGTGGCCAGGGGGAACTGCCCTTCCACGGAGGTGGAAGGGATAGTAGCCAACCCGGGAAGAACCAGCAGCAAACCCGGGGAGGGCCGAGCAGACGAAAGAACAGCGCAGGGTCCTGTGTCGTTCCTCCACGAAGAGGGGGAGCGACAGTGCAGGGCCCAGGCACTTGGGCCATCTTCCACTGCCTTCCGGGCCACAGCAGACAGCTGGACTGGAAGAGGAGGAACTGGGACAGAATCTGGCGCCCCAACTGGGACTAGAACCCAGGGTGCTAGAGCTGCAGGTGGAGGATTAGCCTAGTGAGCTGCGGCACTGGCCAAAATTATTACATCTTAATAAACAATTTTAAAATGTTTACAGATGTGATAATGTTAACTTCCTTGATTTGATCATCACACATGTACACATATATCTAATTATCACAATGTACTCTATAAAATAATAGCTATCCAAAAGTAAAACATTTTCTCAGAGGAGTACTAGATTTTCATTAGGCAAGAAGTTTTTACTTAAATAAAAAATCCAATCTTCCCATACTCTTACTAAAATTATTCAATGGCTTCTTATTTTAGGAAAATAATCCAACATGTTTAATATTGTTTATGTCTCTTTTTATAAGATGCATTTATTTATTTGAAACAGAGTGACAGACACACACAAAAAGAAGTGGGGGGAGAAGGGAGTGAGGGAAGGAAGGGGAGATGATGGGGGGAGGGGAGGAGAAATAAAGAGTGGAGAGAGAGAGAGGAAGAGAGAGAGACAGACAGAGAGAGACAGAGAAAGAGAGAGAGAGATCTTCCATTTATTGCTTCATTCAGCAATTGGGTATAATATCCTCAGGTGAACCAGGCTGACACCAGAAGCCAGTAACTCCATCCTGGTCCTGCATATGGGCAGCAGGGATATGAACACCTGAGCCATCATACCGCCTTTTCCCAATCACAGTGGCAGAGACCTGAATCAGAAGTAGAATATCCCAGGACCGAACTGATTCTTCCATATGGCATTGCCAGTGTCACAAGAGGTGACAACTCATTGTGCCACAATACCTACCCCAGTTTTTGTCTCTTATAACCTACTAACATCTCCAAACTCATTTCTCTTTCACACTTCCTTTCATATACTCATGGCAAGAAGAAAAAAACATTGAATGACTTATTCATAGATGTCATCATTTTTTTTCCTTCTTGTTTTTGGCACACGCACCTTCTGCATCAAAGTCCTATTTCCCTGCATATCTCACCTTGTTTGATTAAAAGAATTTCAGTGGGCCGGTGCCGCGGCTCACTAGGCTAATCCTCCACCTTGCGGCGCCGGCACACCGGGTTCTAGTCCCGGTCGGGGCTCCGGATTCTGTCCCAGTTGCCCCTCTTCCAGGCCAGCTCTCTGCTGTGGCCAGGGAGTGCAGTGGAGGATGTCCCAAGTGCTTGGGCTCTGCACCCCATGGGAGACCAGGAGAAGCACCTGGCTCCTGCCATCGGATCAGTGCGGTGCGACGGCTGCAGCGCGCCAGCCATGGCGGCCATTGGAGGGTGAACCAACGGCAAAAGAAAGACCTTTCTCTCTGTCTCTGTCTCTCACTATCCACTCTGCCTATCAAAAAAAAAAAAAAAAGAATTTCAGTGCTTCCCATAAACATCATTTTACTAATATAGCTTCCATGCTGCTCTAGGACTATATCAGAATACAATATACATATATTTACTTATAAACCTGACATATTATTTCTTGGAAATTAATTTGCAAGTGTATTTAATACTTTTAAAGATTTTTTTAAAAAATTCTACTCAATTTTCAAGCAGTCCAAATGGATAACCCATTAACATCACAGTGCTGATTTAGAGAGATTTATATTTATATTTTATGTTGATTTTTATATTTTAATGATACTTAATAATGATCTTATTATTTTCTATCTAGGCTCCACATTGTACATATCCCACAAACAGTAAGAAAAGTGCTATTATCTAAGGTTTGCAGATACAAATTTGATGAATAATCTATGTCAACCTTAGTATCTTCTATGTCAAAAGCTTCTTGGCCCAGACTGCTCTTCATTCTGTTACCACTTTTCTGTTACCAATGAGGGTGTGGCTGGAGGACTGTGTCCTTCCTACCTACCAGAATCATGCTGATAGGTCTTTACCTTTCTCTAACAGGAAACATATTTCATCATTAATGCCTGTGTATGTGAAGTTAAGTCTGTCCAGAGAATAAAATAAGGAACACTGTGAAACATATAGATTTACTAAGATACAAAAACAAACAAAAAAAAGGCAAGTCATCTTTGACCTTTTTCTTGATGCGAAAAATATTTTTTCCAATAACAAAAAAAAAAAAATTCTTACATCTGTCAGAGAAAGTCCAAAAAACCCATGCTTGAAAGTTGGGGGAGGTTCCATAAAATAAATACATTGGTATTAATGTGTGAAAGCTAATATCTCAATTTATGTAGAAATGATCTACCACCAAACATGCACAGAGACAACAAGTCAATTTTAAAAAGTGATACCAACAAATGTAGCCAGATATAATTTAGTCAAGGATATCAAAACTATCATGGAGATTTTAATAAAAGAAGAAAATCACATCCACGGGAATATTAATTTGCCAAGAAACATTTCCTTTTGTTTATTCAATTACAACAGGCTAAATGCAACAATAAAACAACCTGTTCTTATATGAATAAAACTGTTAAAAAAGAATAAAGATAGAAGATGTATCATAAATTGATATGCTAATGTAATGGTTCTACTGTTTTCAAAAATAGGCAAATACATAATAGTCTCAAATGGCTGTGCATTGCATTTCCTATCTTTTTATCAAATGGTTAATTCTTCTCAGTGTATTGTGAGTCTTATAACTACTAAAAGCTAAAGTAAAGCTTGCTCTTCAACTCTTAAAACAAAGAACCAAAGACCTTAACAATCCTCAAAAGAAGAAATACAAATGGCCCTCAAATATATGGAAAAATGCTTAATATCACTAGCCAACAGGGAAATGCAAATCAAGACCACAATGAGATAATAACCTTCCCACTGCCAGAATGGCTAATATTCAAAAGACAGAGTGACAATCCATTGAGAGGATGTGGAGAAAGCGGAATTCCTACATGCTGTTGGTAGGAATACAAATTAGTACAGCTACTGTGAGAACAGTATGGAAACTAGAAATAGACCTACCATATGATACAAAAATCCCATTACTGGACATATATTCAAAAGACATTAAATAATGTATCCAAGTGATACTTGCACCAAAATGATTAGAGCAGCACTATTCACAATAACCAAAAAATGTTCCCAACATCAGATGAATGGATAAAGAAGATGTGACATATTTACATTTCTGAATACTATTCACTATTTAAAAAAATATAAATCCTGTTAGTTACCACAAAATGGGTGAAACTAGAGTAAATGGTGTTGAGTGAAATAAGCCAGAAACAGAAAAATCAAATACCACATCATGTTCTCCCTTATATGTGGGAGCTAAATTAAAAAAAAAAAAAAAGAAAGAAACAATAAACACTGAATCTGAACTTAAAATGTTGATACTAGCATCCAGGAGCAGTGGGAAGGACAAAAGAAGTTTGTATAAAAAAAAAAAAAAAAACAAAAAACAAAAAACAGAAGAAGCTGGGTATGATTCATTAATTGTGACAAAGATACTAACATGAGATGCTAATAGGACAAACAGAGAAGATGTATATGGGAATTCAAATCATTACCTCACAATTTTCATTTTGTAAATTTAATAATAAAATTACTTATATTAAAATCTACAAAAATGACATTTACATTTAGAAAACTTGTTTTTCGATTCGGCTTAAGAGTCCTGAGCTGAAATCACCTACTTACAAGGACATCTGCTTTGCCACTCAGTCCCTTCCCATAGTCGTCAGTTGCAACAACTTGAAACTTGAAGTAGGACCTCCTCATATTGTGGAAAAGCATCGCAGTCTTGATAAGCCCAGTGTATGTTTCCACCACAAATCCTTCTTTCCCCTCTTTAATCGGTGGTATGATGAGTCTATATGCCATAGCACTATAATTGCCAGTATCTTTATCAGTAGCCTAGGAAGAAAAAAACAGAGATTATAAACAAACAGAAAAAAAAAAAAAAAAAAAAAAAAAAAACCTGTACTAAAGGGCTTATTTCTATTTACACAACTGGCATTTCTTGTGTAATTGATAACACAATGAAGACCTGTGATATAAGTTTTCCGGATATTACATTTATAAGTTCTTTGTCCACATTGTTGAACAATTGTTATGAGAATGATAGTGTCTGCTGAACTGGGAACTAAAAGGACATAAACAGGAATGAAGTCAATGAATCAAACTTGCTGATGGACATATCTAATGAGCTCAACTCAGGGTTGTGATCCAAACTGGTTGAAGGATGGGATTTGTTGTTTACATAATGACTGTCTTGGTACAATAGGCACGTTGTATGTGTTTTTTATCTAACACACAGTCTAAAAGTATCTGTCCAAAAGTATATAAACTAACAATAAGATAAATCAGAACCCAGAGCCTTTAAAACTGAGTTTGGAGATTTATGTAGATGTCTTAATTAGTTAATGCCATACTATTATTAGAATCTTAATCCAGCTGCATTTGTAATCATCCTGTATTCTAATTACCTAGATTTGTTCCTGATGGTAGGTATTATGGTTTTTATGTTAAAGTTTCTAACCATATGAAATAAAAAAAATGATTAATACAGTTGTGAGTATAATATACTAAGCTGGCTCCATGGTTTCTTCATAGGAGTCATTCTTCAGACTGTTAATTTCAAATTTATTTCATTGAAAAATATTTAGATAGTAAGTGATACAAGAGTATTGAAGACCTTATACAAAGTTACACATACACTATTCCTGCTTACTAATTTGTTACATAGTTTCATTTATTATTATTGTCATTATTTTGAGTGTTCTTTAAGATGTATTTATTTGTCTTGAAAGTCAGAGTTACAGAGAGAGAGAGGGAGGAAAAGAGAGAGAGAGTGTGCTTCCATTCAGTAGTTCACTACCCAGCTATCTGCAATGGCTAGTGATGGGAAAGGCTAAAGCAAAGAACCAGAGATTCATCCAGGCATCCCACATGGATGGTAGGGGCCCAAAAGCTTGGGTCATCTTCCGTTGCTTTTCCCAGGCCATTGGCATGGAGCTCAATTGGAAGTGGAGCAGCCAGTATATGAACTGGAGTCACAGGTGGAGGCTTTACCCATTACGCCACAATGCAAACCTCCAATCTTTCTGTTTTATTTTTACCAATGTTATTATTACTTTTAAATGTTATATATTGGCCAGTGCCATGGCTCACTAGGCTAATCCTCTGCCTGTGGCGCCAGCACACCGGGTTCTAGTGCCAGTCGGGGCGCCGGATTCTGTCCCAGTTGCCCCTCTTCCAGGCCAGCTCTCTGCTGTGGCCAGGGAAGGCAGTGGAGGATGGCCCAAGTGCTTGGGCCCTGCAACCGCATGGGAGACCAGGAGAAGCACCTGGCTCCTGGCTTCGGATCAGCATGGTACACCGGCTGCAGCGTGCCAGCCGCAGCGGCCATTGAAGGGTGAACCAACAGTAAAAGGAAGACCTTTCTCCCTGTCTCTCTCTCACTGTCCACTCTGCCTGTAAAAAAAAAAAAAAAAAAAAAAGTTATATATTAAGCATCTATGATTTGCCAATAAAATGCTAAGTATCATACAAAAATATTCTTATTTAATAAAATGAAACCTTTTCCAAAGACTGATTTTTTGTAGTTATATAAATGAATGCTGTCCAACAGAACTTCCTGGGATGATAGCAATATTTTAAATCTGCTCTGTCCCCTACAGTGAGCACCAGTGATTTAAAATCACTGAATAATTGGAATGAGGCTAATGTGACTAAAGAATTGAAGTTTGAATTTCATCTAATTTTAATTAAGTATATTTAATCAGTTACATTATAAGTAGTAAAGTTCGGATACAGATAACGACAACAATACATAACAGCAAATGTACATCAATGTATCACATGAGCCTGATTCAGTTTTAAATTCTGTAAATATTCTAAACCACTTAAAATATTTCTGGATAACTCCATTAATATAGTAAATGTGGTAATTTGAATTAAACAACCAGGCGTTTCAATTCAGTATCAAATATTTCTTGAGTTAAAATTCTCAGCTTTAAAAGAGGATGCACTCAAACTTCCAGCTGATATCTTTAGAGGTCCATATGATTTACTTTGAGGTAACGCTCAGATTTGGGTTTGGAGTAATTGTAATTAGATTGCAACATTAGATACTATTCTAGATTTTTAAAAAAAGAAAAAAATGAAAAACCATCCAGTTATCAGATTTTCTTTTAAAACTTTTAATTAATTAAACATTAATTAAACATTTAATAAAGCATAATTCCCTAATAAAAAGCATATTCCCTAATAAAATTATGTATAAAAGCATGCAGAAATATGAACAAATTGTAATTTACAGCTCAGTAATATTTTGCAAATACAAGAGACTAATAGCTCATCATGGGAAAAACATTAGTTACATTCCAGAATACACTTTATGGTATTCATGTCATACACATCTCCCTAAGGGAAACCACTATCTCAATCTAACATCAAGGATTTGTTCTGTTTTAAACTAATTTTTTAAAGAGATGGACTCTTTAAAATAAATAATTAATTGTATTTTAATTGAGAGACAGATAAAAAAGGGAAAGCAATAGAGAAATCTCTCATCCAATGGTTCAACTCTGTTTTTGCTCTACTTAGAAATCCTTAGCTGTAGGTATGTGGTAAGTTCTCTTCCTCATTCCAACATTTCAAACTTTTCTTCAGTTGACATATTATTTCAGTCTGATTTGTACTTGCAGAAGGTCTAACTCACATACAAACTGAGGCCATTAAAATGTGAGGTGCCTGAATTTATCACAACATAACTGAAAACCTACATTCATCGGTATTTACACCACTTTCTTCAAATCTTCCTTTGAAGGCACTCATGCCTTCTAGATATGAATCACTTCTATGTTTTCTGTGTATAATAGTTCATCAGCTGTATTTACCTTTGTCCTCTTCATCTTTTCCACTACAGACTCCAAAGCACATGTCTCTGTCATTAGAACAAAATCAAACTTTTCTTCTGCTCTGTATACATATCCGACATGACCCCACAATTTCCAAACCTACTTTTCATTCAGTTTCTTCATCACATGCCTTTACAATCACTCTCCTCAATTCTTTATCCCCCAGTTATTCCCAAAATGCATTCTACCTTCTTCTTCCATCATTCCAGTGAATCTGCACAATCAGGGTTGGAGGATTGTCTCAGGCTCATACCAACAACCCATCTAGAGATCTTCAAGTGACAAACTCCATTTACATGATTTATATAATGTTGTTGCTGCTTCTACTGGATGCTCCATTTATTGAACACTAAATAGTTGCTAGGTGCAAATTAATAATTTACATGTATGACTTCATTATCATTACTTTTTTTAGCATTGAGTAGGTTCTACTGTTATTTTATTGATGAAGAAAAGGAGGCATAGGGGATCAGAAACTTGTCCATAATCACACAAATGGTTGACAGCACACTTGGGTAGCTCTTGCTATAAAACACTACATTCAATATTTTTTTTTTTGTTTGACAGGCAGAGTGGACAGTGAGAGAGAGAGACAGAGAGAAACGTCTTCCTTTGCCGTTGGTTCACCCTCCAATGGCCGCCAGAGCCGGCACACCGCGCTGATCCGATGGCAGGAGCCAGGTACTTCTCCTGGTCTCCCATGCGGGTGCAGGGCCCAAGCACTTGGGCCATCCTCCACTGCACTCCTGGGCCACAGCCAAAAGCTGGCCTGGGAGAAGGGCATCCGGGACAGAATCTGGCGCCCCGACCGGGACTAGAACCCGGTGTGCCGGCACTGCAAGGTGGAGGATTAGCCTAGTGAGCTGCGGCGCCGGCCTTACATTCAATATTTTAGACTATATATGAGGAATAAAGTCCCAGTGAGAACAAAAGCAAATCCTTGACAAAATGCCCTAAAAATTCTTCTAAGAAGCATCAAGATGAAAGAAAATAAAAAATATGCATTTCATAAACTACATGCACATGGTTCACTGCAAATTCATATATTGAAACCTAATCTGCAACATGATGGTATTTTGTGGGAGAGTCTTTAGGAATTCATTAGGACATGTGGCGGAGCCCTCATGAATGCCATCACTGCTTTAATAAAAGAGAACCAGAGACTTTCCTTGCCTTTTTCCAACATAAAGGTACACAATGGTAGATGGCCATTTATGAATGAGGGCAACAGCCCTAACTAGGTATTCTATAAGCTGGTGCCTTGCTCTTGAACTTCTCATCCTTCAGATTTAATTGTAATTGTAAATGTAAATTTAAAATGTTATCTAAAAATTAAAACAGAAACAGAGAAAGGCAGAAAGATGGAAGGAAAGAAAAAACTAACGAAGGAGAGAAGGGGAGGTGAATAAGGAGGGAATGTTATTTTATCAGAATTGTCTATGAACTACCTACTATGAACTAGACTGAATCTGTTCTATTTGTATTTATATCAAAATAACATGAAAAAAGCATAAAATGCATTTCTCTTACATGTAAATCATCCAGTCTACAGTACTCTGTTATAAGTGCCCAAATAGATAATGAAAGGAAGAACACAAAAATCTTTGTACTGATAGTGATTGTCATCTAGATATTTGTTTTCTTGAGGTGTGGGAACTTGTCTACTATTGAGTGTCTCAGAACAGGAGACAAGGCACAAGAACCACTTACGGAAGGGAGTCTAATTAAAATCCTCCCACAGAAAACTACATTCTCACCTTTAGGTTGAACAAAAATTCATCTTTTCTTACCAGCCCCCACTGCCACTACTAACTGAAAATTGCCAAGAAAACTGTCTGGCTTAAACCTTGATGTTCAGTGACAAGAAGACCAAAGTTTCCTGAGAATCCTAACCAAACACATTCCCTTACTTGAGTTTGGAGCCTTCATTCAGACACTATCTATTTGCCCAGTTCAAATAGAAATCACAGTAGTCTAAGTTTGCACAGACCA